ATTAAAATCTTGCGACGAATTGGCGACGAAAGATTTTTATTGCAAAATGCCTGGAGAATTAGCTATAACACGTCTAGCGACGGACGATTTCGTTGCTATAGGAACAAACGACGAATTTTGTTATGTATTGCAGCGACGAAAGGCGTCAAAATTGCGACAGAAACAAGCAATACATCGACGCTTATTTCCCTCGCAAAACTTTGCTACAGATATATTCCGTCGCTAATCCGTCGCCAATTCTGCGACAGCTTGGTTTTTTTCGTCACTATGAGCTTAGCTACGAGCATTTTAGGGACAAACTTGAATCCGTCGCTAATTCGTCGCTAAACAACTGTAGCGACGGAAAACATTGATTTAGCGACGGAATATGGCCGTCGCTAAACGCTGTTTTTTTTGTAGTGTGAGAATTGGAATATTAAAATTCAATATACCCAGTTTGTAGATGAATTGTAGATTATTTGTATTCTGATTGTAGATGCATTGTTTTTTGTTTTCACAAATCCAAAACGACTAAAACTTCTACAAAATCTTCTGCAAAAAACACAATTATGTCTAAAATACAGTGCTATATTTTTACAGGGAAATGTACTTTGGTTCTTAGTTCTTAATTTTCAGGTGAGTTTATTCCTAAGTTCAAAAGAAGCTTAAAATCTAGTAACTCACTCTCGGTAAACCAAAAGTGCTAGCTACTCCATTCATTTTAGAAGCGTGATTGAATGATGATTGAAGGATTCTATCTCAATCTATTCTCTGTATATTAGACTGCAAACAAAGTTGGCCTTGGAACATAGTCAAGCTAGTGTATGGTAATTGGTATGAAAACTGATTTGACGTTCAAGTTCTATGCAAGTGGCCAGCTCTTCTTTTTCTTTTCTTACAAATCTGATCAAGTTTTTCTTTTACCGCTATTTTCTCTTTCATTAATTTAACTAATATCTCAATATCTTTGTTGCATGCTACTTTGTTTCTCTCTTGAAGTAACTATCAAAGGAAATACTGTTTATAATGCATTAATTGTACCCTTAAAATACACTATGATATAGAATTAGTAATTTGATATACTAAATGTAATTATATCAAACCTTAAATATTGAGGGTAATAAGGTTTCCTGTATGATATAGGAATGTAAAAATCTTTTATTTTATATTCCCTACAACTGCTTTTACAAAATTACTTTTAGTACAAAACAAATCACAAGAGACTCCAAATAGAACAGTGAGCTTGAGGACGAAATTTTCGCAAATTAAAATACCAAACATTCGCTTCCTATTTTTCCGCTCAGAAAATTGATTTGGATATTGATCCATATACCAGTTGGAATTGTACTTATTATATACCATACAATATACATTATACTTATTGCTCATATTACAAAAAATGAAATTATTAAATTTGGAATATAGACTATATATAATATACAATGTATAAATCATGTATAAATTACAGTACATAATTATACACGACATAAACCATATTACATCAGATATTATATCAAGTATAAACCATGTATAATCGAAAATATATATAACGATAATTCCGGTTTATTGCAATATTTAATTAGGACTAGTGGTACAATAATGGAATAATTCCTAAATTCCATTATATCTTTACGGAATAGTAATATTTATTTATATATGATAATGACATAATGTATATCATTTGTATTTATTTGTGCAATTTATTTAAAAAAATTGTAGATTTATTTGTGTTAATAAATCTAAATTTTAAAGTGATAGAGTAATCATAAAGAGAAGGGAATAAATTGACAACAATTAAAAGTGATCCCCTTAATATGAGGGTCGGTAGTTATTGGTTTCTAAACCTAATAACTACTACACGTAAGCTTCTTGTAATACAATTGTTATTAAATCTGCTATTTTTAAATAAACCAAAAGTAATGTTGTTTATGAAATAAATTCTTAATTAGTGCCCTACAACGTAAAAATCCCAATTAATTAAATATTTTAGGATAACATTAATATTACTTTGGTAATTTAGATTATTTAAAATGCCTAATTATATTTGCTAAAATTATATACTTGAATAAAATGTTAATCATAAAATGCGGCAAGACTGGTTAAATAACTATTGCTTTAACTTAGAAACAAAATATTCTACAGAATTAGGAACATTCTCTTGTTTGATCATAAAATAAAAATAAAAATGCTTTTTGCGAATGGCAATGATAATAAATATTATAAATGAATGAATGATAAAGACTTAGTGACGATGATAGCTACTTTGTTATTATAATTTAAAATATAATTAAATTCTAATAGCCGACTCAAAATGTGACTATTTATCAATGTCTCTGTTTTGTCATTGGTTTTGTCACAAGGAGAGTGTAATTTCTCTATGGACCGAAATGTTTTTGCATATTAAAGGTTGAAAGCTACTGCCTGCAAGTAGCATTAACCAGGAAAAATATTAGGGTAGAGGCAGTACAATCATACACGAGTAGCTACAGCGTGAAAATTGAGGAATAATACTCCAATATAATTTGGAAGGAAAAGAGGAAGAAATAATTAGCCCAAATAGCCGTTTATCTAACCATTTAAACTAAACATAGTTGGTGGCAGGGGCGACTCAACAATATCTGAGGCCTAAAGCAAAGCCTTAATAAGAGGCCTTATATATATATGTATAATAATTTAATGAGCATCGTTTTTTGAAAAATTAGACAAGCGAGGATGTGAAATGAAAAAAATAAGAACTTGGTTTTATAAAGTACAAAAAGATGAATGAATTTAATGTTGATTGCATCACAACTGAAATGGAAGAACCCAGAAAACATACTTCCTTCGTCCCAACTTATGTGACTCCTTTTTTTTAGTCAGCCCCCTTTCTATATTTGGTAACAATTCAACTTTAGATTTTTCTTTTTACCCTTAATGACATGATTTCTAGCCTACAAATTTTTATGATTTATTTTAGATTACAAGTTTCAAAACTCTTCCTTTATTTCATAAATTCCATGTCCAGTCAAACACTTTCATATAAATTGAGAAGGAGATAGTATAATTTATGTAAGGAAAATAAGTGATAAGTTAGATTATTAGATATAATTATGTGACTAACTAATGAATAGTGAAATATAATTCAGTAGAAACATAAATTAAGAGTGACAGAAAACTATTTTGGTTTTATTAATTAGTGGAAGAAATTGAGTTATTAAAAATTATTATGTCAATAAAAAAATACATTTATCAACAATAAGAAATAATTATATAAATAATATACTGTTATACACAGAGAAATAGTAATTTTGGGGCCCTTAAATTTTTGGGGCCTAATCACTTGCTTTAGGGTCTGGCCGCCCCTGGTTGGTGGATGTATAATATATGCATAATTTATGTATATATATGTATAATTATATACAATCAATGTATAATTTATGTATATGGCTAAAAAAAGTTAATAATGAATATGATCGGTCATTTATGTAAAAATCCCAAGAAGAAGAAAAAAAGTAAAAGGGCATTGCCGTGAAAGCATTCTTATTGACGTGCGCTTCACGAAACAAGGCGAAGTCAACATATTTCACATGGTTATTTAATTTAAAAGTTACTACCAGGGGCAAGGTAAAAGTCGAGTTACGGATTTGACCGAACCAATAACTTTTGTTGAAAAATTCATTAAATATATGTACATTATTAAATTTAGAATCTAATAGAAATCATTACTTTAGCATCCAAAACTCATAAAATTGAAATTCTGGCTCTACCTCTGATTACCACTCCATTTATTTAGTTTGATTGAGCACGAATTGTAGAAAATATTATATTTTTTAAAACTTATGATCTTAAACATATCATAATATTTGTGTCAGCGTAAGACTTTTACATCTTGTGTTTTTTAAACATTTCCATAATATTTGTATGACTATAAAAAGATATCATTTTGAGTAAAGTTGAAAGTTTTTTCAATTTAAGAAAACTATCAACTACTCCCTCCGTTCACTTTTAATTGTCCACTTTGAACTTCTTACGCCCCTTAAGAAACAATAAATAAAATATGTATTTTACAATTTTACCCATAATAATGATAGCATTTCCAAAAGTCTTGGGAAATGAGTACTTAATGATAAGGGTAAAACAGGAAAAAAAATTATCTTTATCTTGATTTAGTATAGTGGACAAGTAAAAGTAAAAATATATTTTTAATATAGTGAACAAGTAAAAGTGAACGGAGGAAGTAATTAAAAAGAAAATGTTGCCCTTAAAATAGAATAGAGGGAGTACTATTTAACAAAAAGAAATAGTTGCATTAATGAAGTACTCCTAGTAGGATATATTTTGGGAAGCCTCCGAGAATGGGATCAAAAATGGATTCCTTACTACCAAGAGGTGTGGTCGGATGGATATGGTTCATCTATCTTTAGTAAAAGATTTCAGATTCGAGCCATAAGAATGAAGAAACCCTTTTAGAGGCTTTCCTTATTTCCGCAGTGAAAGCAAGTTCTCTGAATATCGGCCCGCCACTGTTTTATTCTCTATACATATTGAAGATCAAAAGTGTGCCCGTTCAAGTCTGGTCTCATTTCCTCCTTCAGTCCCCTCCCCAATTCCTAGTAAAGATGTAAAGTATCTGACTCACTGTTCACTGTAGTCTCTTGGCTCTCAAGCTGATTATGGATGACTTTTTGAATGTCAATTTACAAAGCTGATATTACAAAGTTCTAAAGTTGAGCACATGTTGGCAGGTAGCCAGGTACAGTGCAAGGGTAATAGAGATGCTAGATCTCCAGTCTTATCACTGATTGTGAGGGATATATAAGGATCAACATGTGTGCAAACAGGAAAATCCAATTGATGACTTCCCATTCAGCTGAACTAAAAAATTCATATTCTTACAAGTTACAACTCAATCGTTCCAATCCTTCAAAAAAAAGCATTTTCTGGTGGATTCACTTTCAAGCATCCCCCCCCCCCCCCCCCCCCGCGCGGGTAACACCAACAATAGGAGGTGGGGACCATGGGCGACGGGCGGTATGTCCCAGTGGTAAAAGTATGTTTTCATTTTACAGCTTTCATTACACTTGTTCTTTGGAAGTATAGAGGAAGTAGAAAAACTAGGAGTGTCAATTATGCAAACTAGCCATATCTATAGTAGAGCAAAGCTTAGCCAAAAGTAAATCCAGTGGAAGACATAAGAGCAGATATGTAAGCACCTCAATGTCCTGCGTTTGACTATCATCAGCGTAATGTCCGGGACTACTTACAAGAAGCTAATTTTCATCGCCTGCTTGAACAATTTCACTTAATGCCTCTGTGTTGTCCCTATGGCAACTGGGACATACCGACCTCTTTTGTAGCTCATCACCAAGGGAAGCACATCTGTTTTCCAATTCAGAAGTCTGCTTGCTTCTAGTCAAGGATACAATAATTGCTGACGAATGTAAAGCATGAGTGCTAATTCCATAAGTATCATTTTGAGGCGTGAAAGAGTTTTTCAGGAATAGAATAAGATAATTTTTGCAGAAAAAGTGGAACGTCTCATAAAATTTCGAGATCCACTGTCGACTAATTTCTCTTTTCACCAATGAGTTGAACATAGTAAACAATTAGCTATAAGTAGCAGGACTCCAAACAATAACGATTTAAGGATATCTGGCTAACTCCTGCATTTCCATATTTTCTTTTGTGATTCCCTCTATCAGCGATGCTTTCCTTTCCAAAATATTCAACTCCTCTTGAAGCTGAAAAACACCACACAGATCGATGTACTTAGTTCTCCAAATACTAATAACCAGACATATAGCAATAGAAGAAAGGAAATGACAACAGACAAGCCTAACAAAAACATAATTACTTGCCTGAGTATGAATATTCTGTTCAACTTGGTATTCCTCTTCTTCCTTAGTGATCTGGAAAACTATCTGAGCCAACTTATTCTGGAGGTCTCTTTTGACAGCTTCAGCATCTTCTGCTTTGGCTTTTGCTGGACCTGCTTGTGGAGGTGTAAAACAATTCTTTATCAACTTGAAGAAGCTGTTGTATTGAAGCAACAATAGAACTTTGGAAGTCTTTAAATTTGAACATCCATATAATACAAGAAACACCCCAACACATCGCAAAAAGAAGAGCGCTTATCTATGTGCGATAACACACCAGGCTTTGATGCTGACTCGCTGCAATTATCATTTTGGAATATAGAGGCTCTTGTCTCATGGAATTTCCTGCATCCAGTTCAGTAGAAAAAAGTTAAGCCATTTAACAGCAGATCAGCTAGATTTCAATATAGTGTAGTCACAAAATCCCAATGAATAAGCCTCAAGTTAGAACAGAAACAGGTAGATTTATCTCTGGCCACAATATCTTCGGTGGTCGAGTTAACGAGTCACTTTGATTACTACATTTGAGATATAAGTGCCTCGCAAGACTGGCAACTAGATAACAGTTTTATCTGCCAAATTAAAGAAACATGGTTTTAAATAATAAATACGACCACAACAGTGGAGAATATTTACTCTGCATTGGACTCTCCTTGTCTAGACTGTGCCAGTAGAACAACTAATGTGCATGAGTGTGACAGGAGGGAATATGTAATAAATCAGCGATAAGACTGCTTGATCACACCCAATTTATACAATTGACATAATTCTGATATCAGAACTTAAATAATTGAGATACAATATGGGCTAGATGACTGGCAACTTAATCAAAAAGTCTTTGTTTCTGTTACCATACAATATCACCAAATTATTTTGAAAAGCAAAACAAAAACCACATAATCATTGTAAAAGTAGATTTTAAAGCAGAAAATCAAGTGCTTCTCTTTCTCATTTAACAGCTATGATCACTCCCCAAGCATAATTACTTTTTGCTAGTAATCATGACATGAAAGTTTATAAGCATGACTAAACAACAATATAGATAGATGATCTCCATTCTTCAAGTATTACAAACTGAAGCAGCCGTTAGAGCAATGCCATGCGGTATTACTTAGGCCATGGTATGTATAAATGCAAATTAGATCTCCTATAATAAGAGCAGAAGCCAAGCAATGCCAAGTAAGTATTACTTGGGCCAGGTATGTGTAAATGCAAATTAGATATAAGAAGAACAATGACTAAGTTAGCTCTTCTAATTAACATCAGCATGGATTGACAAGAGACTATTTTATTTCTCCGTCCGTACTTAGCTATTGTATGTATGAAAAAAATCTACAGTCCTGGAGCTTTACACCTTATTGACATTTTTTGTGAAAAAAAAAAATCAAATTAGCTACCAAACTAACCTAAGTTCATGCAGTCATTTCAATAGTTAAAGATTACTGCTTATTAAGGACGCACAATAGAAGAGAGCACTACCCATTAATTAATTCAACAAACTGTACCTTATCTGTGCATTGAGATCCAACATTTTCTCAATGAAGTCGTCTCTGCATAAGCAACGATAGATACAACAAGAAAGAGAATTTCGATGAGATTCTTTTCACAATGCTAAATTGAGTTAAAGATGCATTTTCTACTTAGTAAAAGTGATTGTAATAGAACAAAAAGAGTTGAAACGTAAACTGAAGGAAGCATGTAGTTACCGAGTTTCTGCTTCTTTGTTCTTTTCACAGTTCAGATATCATCAATTGACCAAGGAGTTTATAAGAAGAAACAGGGTCATTATTAGCAAGCCAATACAAAAAATAATGTTCAAATTTACAAATATAAATAAGTACAAATACAAATCTAATATAAACAAGTACAGACATCAACAATCAATACAAGCCAAGGGAGCATTAAGTGCGCCTTAAAGGAGAACATAACCTCAAGTCAACTTTTACCTTAAGAGCCTCTACATCAGATCCGTAGGCTGATAGTTCATCTTGAATAGAAACGATCCTTTCCTATAATGTAATTGTAAAAGGATCTCTTAGAAAATCGCAAAAAGTATTGTTCAGGTTTTAAAATTTCAACTAATTTTTTTTTCAGTAACTAATTAAATATGTTTCGATAAGCTTAAAACGTAGACCAAAAAAACGTAACCGTATATAAAAATACGAATGAGATTGACAACCTCTAGGGTTTGAATAGCAGATTCATTCCTGGCCAATTCAACTTCGTAGCCTTTGAGCTCTTGGTCAGCAGTCTCCTTCTGATGTTTTGCCTCTTCAACCTCAGTGTTTGCAGTTTCAAGCTCCGATTGAAGCTCTTGACTTCGTTTCTTCAAATTTATTATTCTTCGCTCTGAAAATTTTGAAGTATTATAGCTCAAAAATCAATTTTAGTTTGTATCAGTTTCCAGTTAACAAATACGTTGAATCATCAAGTGAAAAATTTCATACGAGTTTCGAAGGAGGAAATGAAGAAGGAAAACGAACCTCCTTGAGATTTTTCAGATGCGAAGTCGCGGATTAGAGTGAGGAATTGCTTCTGAGAATCGTTTCCCGCCATCTCTTCTTTTTCTAGAGTAGCTGTTTCGAAATTTTGAACTATTCTGTATTCCCTTTATGTTCTTTATAGTGGAGTAGTGGACCGCGTTGATCTCGTGAATGGGGCTCGCGTGTTACTTGGGCTATTAGCCCATTATTAATTCACGCAAGCCCAAAAATTACCAGCCCATGTCCATTTTCAGTCGCAAACTGCCAGTCCTCATATTTTGTGATAGACCTTTTTAAAATCACTATTTATACTTTAATTTCATTAAGAATTTTTTTTGAGAAAATAGCTCTGCGTCACAATTTTAAAACAAGCTCGCCAATATTTTGAAGCATCCGCAAGAATTTTAAAGCACCAGAAATCTAACAATCACTAGAATTTTCATCGTCAAAATTTTGTCAAATTAATTCAATGAGCGAGAATGAAATCGACAGGGTAACAGAGAGAAGAGGAGCTGAAGAAAACTTGGAGAGAAATCTATGAGATTTTCATTTCCTCTTCATGCTACAGTGAGTGATGTACCTCATATATATATATACATAGACAAGCTAACTATAACTTTTTAACCGACTAAGCTAACTCCTAAGATAAATAACTGACTCATTAGCTAGCCAACTAACTATTACACGTCAGCTTGTTATGCTCTCAACACTTTTCCTCAAGCTAATGCTTTGAATTATATTTTCAACTCCAAGTTGATTCAATAGAACTTCATGATATGTTTTCCCAATGCTCTTAATCAGCAAATCTGCTAGTTGATCCTTTGTTCAGAGAGGATAAGTTATGATTACTCCTTGGCTCAGTTTTTTTCTCACTAAGTGACAGTCTATGTCTATGTGTTTGGTTCATTCATGAAAGGATTTGTTGCTATATAGATGGCAGCTTTGCTGTCACAAAACAGATCAACAGGTTGGTGCAGTTCATTTCCAAGTTCCTTAAACAGACCTATCAGCCATGCAACTTCAGCCACACAGGATGCCATGCTTCTAAATTCAGCTACAGCTGGACTTCTAGCTACAGATTCCTGTTTCTTTGACTTTCATTACACTAAGGCTTCTCCAAATTTCACAAGATAGCCTGTAACAGATCTCCTGGTCTGCAGGCAAGAGCCCCAGTCAGAGTCACAGAAGGCCTGCAGATGCTTGGTCTTTTCTGATGGCATTAGGAGTCTCAGACCTGGTGATGCTTTCAGATATCTAATAATCCTTAGAGTAGTTTCCATGTGTGATTGTTTTGGGGGATGCATATACTGGCTCAACACATGTACTCTAAATGAGATATCTGGTCTAGTCATAGTCAAGTACAAAAGTCTGCCTACAAGCCTGTGTTATTCTCTAGCATCATTTAGTATAGGATCTTAATGACCCGCACCTTTGTTAAATGTTCGGTCATACTCCATTGAAGTAAGCTTTTAATTGCACTTCAAAATACCAGTTGTATTTGCTCCAATTTCAGAGATCAACTCCAAGGAATGCTTCCTTTGACACATGTGTATTCCTCTTTTTGACCTGGAAAATTCACTACCTAAGAAGAATTTTAGTTCCCCCAAGTTTTTCATCTTGAACTTCTTCTAAAGGTCTTCCCTGGTTTTGATTAATAGATCAATATTGCTTCCTGTGATGATCAAGACATCAACATAGATTAGGATCACAATTATGTCACTTCCTAGCTTCTGTGTGAATAGTGAGTAGTCAAAGTGGCTTTGAGAAAACCCAACTACTGTAGAGCTTCAGTCAACTTGAGATTCCACTGTCTTGGTGCTTGTTTCAGACCATACAGTAATTTGTGTAGTTTGCAGACTTGTTTGGTCTCCCCTGTCTTGCAAACCCATTTGGAATAGTCATGTAAACCTCTTCTAATAGATCTCCTTACAAGAAGGCATTGTGAACATCCATTTGATAAATGAACCAATGTCTAGAAGCTGTCACAACCACTATTGATCTAACAGTAACCATTTTAGCTACTGGTGAAAATATTTCTTTGTAGTCTAACCCTGCTTGTTGACTATAACCCTTTGCTACCGATCGTGCCTTGTACCTCTCCACTTCTCCTGATGATTTATATTTAACCTTGAACACCCATTTGCATCCAATAGGAGTTTTTCCCTTAAGCAGGTCCACAATGCTCCAAGTTTTGTTTTCTTCAAGTGTTGTAATCTCTAATTTCATGGCTTCAGTCCACTTTGGATCTGCAGCTACTTCCTTGTAACTAGAAGGATCCACAATAGAGGAGTAGGAGTTTAAGGCAACCTTATAAGAGGGAGTCAAATGTTTATAATAGACATAGGATGATAAAGGATAAGTACAATTGGATTTTTTGGTAATGATAAAATCATATATCCACAAAGGTTGTTTAACAGTTCTAGAGGATTTTCTAAATGCTTCAATTTGTTGTTGCTCAGGAACATGTAATAAACTGATGACAGAGTCATCATTACCATATTATCAGGTGCAGTTGGACATATAGAGTGATACACAACAATGGAAGGAATTGGAGGTGGAGGAATTTCTCTGTCTAATTCTTCTTGAGTAGGTGGAGTAATTGATATGTTATCAGGTGTTGTGTTTGGAAAAAGTTTTGGTTGATCAGGTGAAGGTTCTAACACTGGAAACAAAGGTAGTGTAGAGGGTTTAAAGTGTTTAAAGGGAAATAAGTCTTCTCTGAAGACTATATTTCTACTAACAAAAAAAGCTCTAGCATGTAGGTCATAGAGTTTATAACCTTTTGAGTGGAAGAATACCCCATTAAGGCAGCAGGAATGGTTCTTGGTGATATTTTATCAGTAACACTTGGATTTGATGCATAGGCAAGACAACCAAAGGTTCTCAAATGGCCAAGGTTAGGAGGATGTGAGTGTAACATTTCAAAGGATGATTTGTTCTACAATATAGCAGAGAGTAACCTATTGAGTAGATAGACAGTTGTAGAAACACATTCTCCCCAAAACTTCACAGGTACAACACCTTGAAACCTCAGAGACCTAGCTACATTAAAATTGACCTATGCTTTCTCTCAACTACACCATTCTGCTAAGGTGTATAGACACATGGGCTCTGGTGTACAATGCCATTTTCCTTAATCGTCTCATCAAACTGAGAATTAAAGAATTCACAGCCTCTATTTGTTCTCAAAGTCTGAACATTAGAATATAACATATTCTTTACTAAAGCCAGAAACTATTTCACAATAACAAAAGTTTCAGCTTTATTATTCAACAACAATATCCAAGTATACCTGGATAAATCATCCACTAATGCTAGAAAATATCTCTTATCATCATGTGTAGGTACTCTATAAGGACCCCAAACATCACCATGTACTAGTTGGAAAGGTTTATTTGAACTAGTAGTGATGATAGAAAAGGAGAGTTTTGACTGTTTTGCAAGTGGACATACAATGCAGTGATGGTTTTTATCTAATTTGGATTGTTTCAAGGGCTCTATTTTGCTGAGTACATCTAAAGGAGCATGACCTAGTCTATTATGAAATACAAATAGTGGAACATTAGCAGACACAAAATTGCAAGCTTCTCTGTTAGGCTTCTGTAACTATAATTGTGCTGGTATCATGACCCTAACCCTAATCCCGGTCGTGATGGCGCCTCTCGTGAAGACAAGGCCAGCCAGTTTAACTCAATTCATCTTTTTAAGCAGTTAATCAATACAAAAATAGTCTAAACATAATTTAATAATACTAAATAGCGGAAATATCAATAACAATGCGGAAAAATCCAACCCGACACAGCCCTAACCGGAGTGTCACAAGTCACGAGCATCTACTAGAGTATAAATACAACTGAAAGTCTGAAGTGTACAAATACAGACTAATGAAATGAAGAGAGAGAGAAGCAGTGCTGCGAACGCCGACAACTACCTTGCTAAACTTCGATGACTTTGCCTCCGATCAGCCAAAACCCGCTACCGGGTGTATAAATACCTGAATCTGCACTCAAGGTGCAGGGAGTAAAGTGAGTACTACAACTCAGTGAGTAATAATCATAACTAAAGTCTGAATGGTAAGAAATCACAAAAAACATATCAAGATGTTGTATAGAAGCTGTTCAAAAACCAGTAAGAAAGCAGTGAAGCTGTAAAAATCCCTTAAAACATCTTAGCTCAATTTAAACTTCTTTGAAAATGACTTTTTCCAACAGCTACGTAAATGAATGCAAAATAGTTAGTGCAGATAGGCACAGAAATCTACCCCTCGGGCACAAATACCATAGCCTAATAGGTAAATGACCGGTAAATACAAAAGATAAACACATAAAGGTTCGCCCCTCGGGCTCAATATCAATAACTCTGCCCCTCGGGAAATATCTCAGAACAATACCAGCCCCTCGGGCAATCACATAGAACAATACCAGCCCCTCGGGCTATCACATAGAACAATATCAGCCCCTAGGGCTATATCTCATATCACAATAGGTACCCACGCTCACTGTGGGTGTACAGACTCTGGGAGGGGCCCCTTACGGCCCAAGCGCAATAACAAGTCATCTCGTGGCATCAAATCTAGGCCCTTGACCTCATATCAATCAAGCCACCTCGTGGCATATATATGTATCTCAGGCCCTCGGCCTCATATCAATATCAGTGTATCCTCACAACTAGGCCCTCGGCCTTACTCAGTCCGAAAATCATCACAAGCCCCTTGGGCAATAGTAAAAGAAATTTCTCAGCCCAAAACATCATTTAAAAATATCATTTAAGTCTCAAAACTGAGTAAAAATGGCTGAGTAGTAAAACAGTGGAAAATAACATGATTGAGTTCAAGTAATAAGTCAAAACAGTGAGGAAATAGCAATAAAAATCCCCGAAGGGTACAAATAGTTGTCACGAAGCCCCAAATATGGCAATCAGCCCAAACCACGATGATAGCAAATAAGTTTCAGTCAAATACGCGGTAAAATCATCAGTCGGGACGGACCAAGTCACAATCCCCAATAGTGCACGACCCCACGCTCATTATCAAGCGTGTGTCTCACCTCAATATAGCACTACGATGTGTAATCCGGGGTTTCAAACCCTCAGA